TGCTTTAACAAAGAGATAGACATAACAGAAAGGTAACACGGTGAAAGTCTTCTCTTTCGACATTACCTGCCCGTGAGTTCGCGAGAGCATGGGGACATACGCATATTCCTTAGCCATCACCGCAATTGACTTGATCAGCTCATCCATGGCTGGAAGTATAACAGATCCAATTGCTTCTTTAAGCATCAAAGCATGAGAAAGATTGTTGATGTCCTCAGACGTGCACGCGAAATGGAAAAACTCAAGAACCTGAATTGATCAAAAGACCGAGAAATTTAGTTACAGGGCATCAAAGAACGGATAAGTCCAAACCATTAGAACTTAGGAGTAAAAGAGAAAGAGAGAGAGAGGTTTCTAAATTCTAACCTTAGCAATCTCTGGTTCTGATTCACACTTTTGTTTCAAGAAATACTCAACTGCTTTCACATCGTGATTCGTTACTCTCTCGATCTTCTTAACTTCCAGTGCATCATCCAAGCTAAATCCATCGACTATGCCTTGCAAATAGGTCTCAGCTTCTTTGCTAAAGCTAGGAACTTCAGTCACTTCCGGAATTTTCGATAGCTTAAGAAGCCAATTGATCTAGAAAATATACACACAAGGCAAATGAGTGCATTAGAACAGACAACTACACTACTCCCAACATGAGCATGACATTACTAATACAATATTCTCATATCAATGAATCTGATTATAAAACATTCAAATTGAGAGTAACAGAGACCGAAAAGTACCTCGACAAGTACTCTGAAATAGATCAAGCCAAACTCGCTCAAAGAAGAGGCCAATTCCTTAACTTTCCCCCAATAACGACCATCCAACGGAGATAGTGTCGTTAAACTCGACATCTCCAAGTCTCTAGAACATGTTGCAGCCATTGCTATAACCTAAAGTATCACAATTTATCGCCCAAATTCACATCCAAAAGACACAGCTTATCATAAACCCAAATGAAAAAAATTAGCCTTGAGACTAAAATCTGTTGATGGGGTTCGGAAAAAAGCTTACCTTTCTTGAAGTCATTAGCTTGAG